AAAAACAGGGAAATGGCAGATATAAGATGTTAGCATATTAATGCATTCTAGTTTTGGTCAAGATTGGGACCACTAGTAGGACCTGATTTTTTTGTTTTTTACATGAAGTTTTCGCACAGTAAATAATAGTTTACTCTATTGGTACCATATGAGGCCACTGTTCTCATTTTTTTTTTAGCACCATCTAGTAGCATTTTTTTTAACATCATAAGTTTCATAGAATGAATTTTCAAATGAAAGTACCCCAGTTCTGTCTGACTTGTGCAAACATAGGATAGCTGGTCCTACCATCTCTTAGAAGTCGCTGGCAAGGTCATGCTGTTCCAGCACCAACTTCAAAGTATCCTTGCAACTTGCCTTCTGCTCCCACCATGTGGGGGTGACCCACTCAGCCTGGTACCGTTGATTACCTGTAGGATGAAGTTGTGAAGCAAACAAGCCTTAATCAGAAGCACTGCCAATCTCTTCTTGAGCACCATTTTTTGTTCTAGAGTAACTATATTTAGTGTAAAAAAAAATTTTTTTTTGCGTTTCTTTTCTGATGACCTACATGTTTAGCCAATTGATTATACTTTGCATGAAAATCAGAGTGTTCTTATTCCAGTTTACTTTCTCTAGCAATGCAATGCAATCCAAAATCTATTTCCCTGAATTAGGATGCATTTCATTCATCTTTTAAACATGAAATTGTAATGGGTCAAGGTTAATGATCTTTAAGATGTGTAGCTTACATGTGACTACCTTATTTCAAAAATACTCCCCCAAATAATGATTATTTCTGGTTGTATGAAAGTGTGACTTGTTGAAATCTTCGTAAAATCGACTGAACTTTGCTTAGATTTATTCAACAACATAATTATCGAGTACCTTTACAAACGAAGTAATCGGGGTATTTCGGAATTGAATTAGTGTAATTTGGAATTGAATTACAGATTACTTTATTCTAATGCAAGGGAATGTGGTATCTATGAGAGATGCAGACAAGTATAAAGTACTAGGGAAGTTCAGGGGAGGGAGAAATTACTCCTGGCTAGGGTGCCACCCCACTCTCTTCATCATCTTCCAAACCTAGCTTTGCTATATCTAGATCATCTCATTCATTAATTCTCTCTTCATTTGGTTGAACCTGTATCAAACTTACAATGTGCCAAGCATCGTGCGAGATATTGAAGATGCAAAATGAGCATAGCATCCTTACCTCTTTTGCAGTGTTCAGTCTGATGGATCAGATAGTGATGTAAACAGGTCATGATGGCACCGTGTTGTAAGGCCTATGCTAAGAGTATGTGCAAAAGCCCGTGAGACAAAGGAGAGAATAAATGTCCACCTCGTGCTGGGGGCACGGCAGATGTATTAGCAAAATCTTAAGAAAGAAATTGGCATTTGCACTGAGCCTGGACAACTTGAAGGTCAAATAATACATAGTCGGTCAGGTGGACAAGAGAAAAAAGGAATTCAACAGAAGGAATTACAGGAGCAAAGTTATTGTATAAGCTATGTATTTGCATTTCAAAAGCAAGTCCTGTTGTCTTCAAATGTGTTTTGAAAATAATTTAAATGTCTTATTTATTTTTTAACACAGCCCTTGAACAAACTCTAAACTCAGAAAACGATTTACCTGGTCACAGACCATCAAGGAAACAATCAAATTGTTAAAAGAAAAAGTTAAACCAAGAGTTTGACTGACACTTGTCTATTTAAAAATAACTATCATATATTTAAAGGATAAAACAGCCTTTATTTTATTACTATTGATTTTTATGGCTATTGATTCTTATTTTAAGCTTCACTGTAAGAGTTCTGAGTGGGAAAGTAGAGGATAAGTGAGATCTCCTGAATGAAAAGTATGATGGAAAATAAAGTCTTATTTCTCCCACCCCCTAGATTTAGTGGCATTTACGCCCCACCAGTTTGTACTCAGTGCTTGCACACACGTGGGATGTACCAACAGTTCCTTAGTCGTTCTGTACACAGCACAGCTGCCACCAGAACACGTGGATTCCCCAATGCTGACCGTCCTGGATTCTAGAACTATATACGTACAGTAAGTAAAAACATTGCTGCTGTCACATGCTAGTTCATGCAAGAATCTCAGGAGTTCAATCAAGGGAAGGGTTTGTGACAAAAAAATTAATTTTATTGTGATTAAATGCATAGAAGTGATTAGTTCAGTGGTTCTGGGAACCTTTGATTATCACTTGCCAACTTAATTTCCATTTTGTCTTTATGCAATCAGGTTGAGCCACACACACGCGAGCGCAGGTTCCGTGCAAACTTCAGTAAGGGAAAAACTGACCACTTATATGACAGCCTTGGGCTTTTTATATGTTAGGCATTATTTATAATGATTTGGAGTTAGTGTCAATATATATTTTCTTCTTGACTATAAGCTAGGATTGTCTCGTTCCAGTGCAGTTGAAGTCAGAAAGCTTTTACCCGTTGGCACGTTCAGATTATCTTTGATGTTGGTGTTTGTTACCCATTTCCTAATACATGAGGTGCCAGGTTTATTGCAGCACTGAATTAAAACGTAGTAGACTTCTCTTCCCACCGCTTGATACTTGTTTGCATTTACTTGTGCTTGGTGTCAGTTTTCTCATCTGTAGAAGAAAAGTTTGAACTGAATAAATTATGATTCATTCAAGCTAAAAAATTATTATTTATATCTCATTGTTTGAAGTTTAACTCTCTTAGGGGCTTTTAACATGTCCCAAGCAGAACCCACATTTCTTTAAAAGAGTTCCTGCTACTGTCGTTATTTCTCGATTTACCAATTTCTGTCTACTCCACGACTTGTCCTGCTCATTTCCACTAACATCTTGTAACCCTCATCTGGACTACCCTCTACTTTTCCTCCTGCCACCCAGGTCCAATCCATCTCTCCAGTGTACAGTCCTGTGTATCCAGGTAGCGTGTCACCTCATTTAAGAAGTCTTACTGGACGACTTCAGCCCTTGCAATCCTCAACTTTTCTGCATTCTGTAGTTGCATCTTAACTCTGTTAGGCTGCTGCATTTTTCAAGACAATTATGTCCTGAAAATTATTTAATTTTGTCTCCCTCCCATTTCTCATAAGTTCTCAGACATTCTGCTTCTCCACATTTTTGTTCTATGGCTTAAATTCAAAATCAAATGTTCACTCACACATTTTTTTTATTATTAGCTAATTAAAATTGTAAGTAACTAGAGAAGAGGCACAATAAGCATTTCATACTATTTGGGTTTTTTACGTGAATCACTTTTGAGCTTTCATTGTGTTCCCTTATAGTGGCATAAATCCAAGTTCACATGTGTCCTTTAAAAATTCTGCATATTTCAGTGAAGTAAGTCAGACGGAGAAGGACTAATACATGATATCACTTATATGTGGAATCTAGAAGGATGGCACAAGTAAACTTATTTACAAACCAGAAATGGACTCACAGACATAGAAAACAAACTTATGGTTACCAGGGCAAAAAAGGGGTGGGAGGGATAAATTAGGAGTTTGGGATTAACACATACAAACTATTATATATAAAATAGGTAAACAAGAAGGTCCTACTGTATAGCGTAGGGAGCTGTATTCAGTGGCTTGTAATAACCTATAATGAAAAAGAATATGGAAAAGAATATACATATGTGTTAACTGAATCACTATGCTGTACACCAGAAGCTAACACAACATTGCAAATCAACTCTATTTCAATTAGAAGAAAATCCTGCACATTTCAGATTTGACTTGAAAGTATGATGGTATTAATACTGTATTTTTCCATTCCCAGGTGGAAACAGCCAAGAAAAGTAAATGGAATTCTGGAGCGCTATGTGTTATATATTTCAAATCACACGCATGATTTTACAGTTTGGGATGTCATCTACAACAGTACGGAACTTTTTCAGGATCACGTGCTCCAGCACCTTTTCCCTGGTAGTAAATATCTCATCAAGCTGGGAGTAAGTTAACTGCCCTTTTATCACTTCCTCTGCCCCCATTGCTTCCCTTTTATTTTTTTTCCCCTTATCTTCTCTCCATCCCTCACTTAAAAAAAAAAAAAAGACCCGAAAATCTCATGCATTGCTATTTACACGGAAAACTCACTTCACATACAAAATGATAATTCTGTGGACCTAATAGCTACATATTTATTTTATATTATGCAAAGCAATATAATAATAATAATAATCTGAATCACTAGATTTTTCCAAATCTAATTTGGGATTATCAGAAATTATTTCTTTTTTACTATTTATAGAATGTCATAATTGTTGAGGGCTTTTTAAAAAACATTCTTGGATTAATAAGGTTATTTCCCCATGGGGCTTGTATTCATTTGAAAAACAGTGTGCAGTATGAAAATTTAGGTCTTAGATTTTTAAATGAAGGTTTAAATGACCCCCAGATATTCTTGATTATTATTATTATATTCTGGTTTACATTATACTTCTATCTCGAAAGAATAGTCACTTAGTAAAACCCCAGAATCCTCACAGTTTAGACAGGTGATAGCATTTTTTAATGCAAAATAGCACTTTTACACAAAGGTCTTTTAAAAGACCTTGATATTACTGTGGAATTTATACTCGGTAGTTCCTTTTGTTTTTTGATGAAATATAATCTTTTTTAAGTTTAATAGCACATCTGAAAATAACTGAATATAAACATGAGATTGTCCCTATTTGTTTTAAACACACTCTTCATTTTATAGCAATACCTATATAAGGATATTTGCTTTGATAAATGCCATAGAAAATATTCTGCTCTTGATTATGAATAAATTTACATTTATGTAGACACTGTGTATGCATTCATTTTACTTAACATGCTCTTGAATGCTCTAAATATTATACCACGAGAAAATAAACTACATTCAACTGTTGCTAACTGTCTGACCTGACACCACAGAACAAGGGCAATCAGACGATGTTAAAAATTTTGCTCGAAACTGGCTGCATGTGCCTAGGTGTTCAGCACTTAGATGGGTTGATGTGATTCCTTAGTTTTATTACCCAGGTTGGAAGAAGTGTATTAACATGCTTTTCAAAAAGCTAATACAGAAATCCACACTATTTTCAAAACAATGATGATCTCAAAATAAGAAAAGTCCCAGTGGTTTAGAAGCAACCAAAATTAAATGAAAATTGTTGTGCTGTTGGTTTGTATTAAAAGGAGACAAATAATATAAAACAAAGTTCTACTTTCAAGGTAATTTTTTAGGACATTTTATGTAGTCAGTGAAAAATCTACCTCAGTCTCCTCTGTTTTACACACCTGTAATACCTTGAAAAATAAACACCACTAGATTGGGAGTCTGCTCTCCTGAGTTTTAATTCAGATTTTGCCACCATCTGAGTGACTTCAGACAAATTTATTTAATTGCACTGAGTCTTCAGTTCTTCAGGCTTAAAATTAGGACTCCGAATTAAATAATTTTAATGTCTCTTTGAGCCCTAAAATTCTATGATACTATAAAGGTGACCCCAAACAATATTCTGTGGAGCCAAACGAGATCTGTCAGCCACTGAGTAATGATGATTCAAGATATAAAGATGTGGAAGTCCTTGCTCTAACTCTTGTTAGGGAAATAAATTTGCTCATATTATTTTCGATTTCACTGTGTTTATTAGGGCAGAAGATACACTGATATATTTTCAGAAGTATTCAACTAAAGGTTTTTTTTTTTTTAACTTTAACTCTGTTAACCAGTAAGTAAATGAACCAGAACATTTTAGGTTCATCTTGGTTAATTGAGGGATTATTGTATATTTCACAGTTTCAACATAATAACTGGCTTTCAAGGTCATTAGATTAATAGATGAAGATCAGGTTCCCAGCCCAGTGGAATTGCCTTTAGAGATAGTCTTGGCATGTTCACTGTAGGCTTGGAAACAAAACATACAGACAACTAAGCCTGTAGGCAGGCAGGCAGGCAGGCAGTCAGGCAGGTCGGCCTTAGAGGAAAGTGCATGGGGATTCTACATGACTGACTAAGATTTACTTCGGACTGGAGCACGTATGTTACGTCATGTGTCTTCGTTTAATTTTCCTTGTTGACTGGATTAAAAACTCCTGAAGGATAAAGACAGCAACTTTCAAAGTTCTGTCTTCAGAGTTAAGCACAGTGCCTGGAAACCAGAAACTCATGAACAATTCTTGAATGAATGAATGAATGAACCCTAAGTATATTAACTTCATAAAGAATCTGAGACTTCTGATATGAATCAAATAATTTGCTGTAAAATGTCCGAGTTGGGTACTGAATGGTTCCAAATACATGCTCTGTCTACTAAAAGGAACAGCATGCCACTCATCAAATGGTATTGCAAAGTGTAGCTACTCCTAGTGAAGATAGTAAGTGACAATTAAATATGGAAGCCAGTATGACAGACAGATATCAAGATATATAAATGTCTTGGGAATATTCATATTCCTGCTAGACATTTGCCTCTTGATGGATGTTCAGTGCTAAATGTATTTCCTGGAAAGATTCTTGGAAATGATGAGCTTTAAGTTTTTTAAAGATCGTTTCTAGATAACATGGCCTTGTTCTTATTCTTCATGCTTTAAAATGTGTTGCCTTCTTAACATCGTCAGACAGATCCTACTTATCTGGAAAAGAGAATGCTAGTTTAGGATGTCCTTAATAGTCCTTATTTCAAAAATAATTGGTATGCTTTTGTTAGTTATACATATGATTATACCAAAATTGAATCTTCTTTTTGGGCTGAAGTTACTCATCATTTCAAGGTAGTATTATGACTTCTCAGTTAGGAAAAAAAAAACACAAAACATGGTTGTAATTGATGCAAGCTGTAGGGGATGGATTGAAACACTTTATTTTAATGGCTCAGAGGCTTTCAAAGACTTTGCCATTTCATAGAGACATCTTCGATCAGCCCCACTATTTTTAGTTTTTTCCAAACTAGAATTTTAATCAGCATCCAGTTGTGTTGAATGCAGTGGCCTCTGCTGCTGGCAGAATTCAAGTTGGTTCAGTTTCATTTAGGTGATATCAGCTAGATTAGACCAATCAGAAGCAACTTTAAGAACATGTACGTCCTTATTGAAGGAACTAAGACACTGTCCTGCTCACTTGGCACCTCTAAGTGCATGCAACAAAGGATGTGGGAAAAAAGAACAAAATAAAACATTTTGCAGATAATTCTGTTGTTTCAGCAGCCTCTTTGTAAATTCAGTTTCATTTATAAGAAAAAATTTCCAACAAACTCCTTGGATTCTTAAAGAGGCTTTTATCAAGTTATTAGTTTATAGGTCTTGAATATCATAGCCCCACGAACAGTCCTTCCAAACCAGAGGATGTCTGCATTTATCCCAGAAGACATCATAAAATTCTCAAAACAAAGTGAATTTTAATTCAGACGCTGTTTCAAAAACTGTATACAATTATATGTCACATAGCACACACAGTATCTCTTTGGGAGAGTTGTCAGGGGAAATTCTTAGGCCATGAATAAGAAAAATAATAGTGATAAGTAGACTATGAGAATTAAATCCCAGTGTGGTGTGAGTTTCACAATAACATACAGCAACATTTTTCCCCTCCTAAGGAAAAAAAATTCTAGGAAATTCAGCTGGACAGATTTATCTCTCTCTGAGGACTAGAAAGAATGCTCCTTTGCCCACTTTCCTTTGATAAGTCAGCTGTCCCACACGGCCTCTTTTCCTGCCACGTTTTCTTGTGGACTTCTAGCCTGTTGGAAATATTTTGGTTTAATTTTTCTGTTCAGGTAGTTATTTTTTAGGTTAATAGCGACATGTCCTAGAGCTTCGAGTCAGGCTTTGGCCCCAAGCTCCATTGATTTCTCTTTATTTGCGAAGATTCTGTTCTCAGGAGGACAACGGGTTGTCTCTTACATCTGTATGCACACGCCACAGCTGAGAATTAGAGGAAACCCACAGAGGTTAATTAGGTCCCCAATCTTAATGCAGTTTCATGCCCAGGCCGCAGCTTAACCCGTCTGAAACTTGCTTACGCTGAGAAATTATCTTGAAGACATAGGCTACTGTTGTGTTCTTACAATAAAAAGTGCGATTAATCTCCATGTCTACTGACCGTTTCTTGTTACCTATACTTACAGCAAAGAATTTGCAACAGCCTTACAGGTAGTAAGTATACTTTCAATGTAAGAAAATAGCCTTTAAAGTCAGTCAGTTTTCTCCTGTCTTTAGGAAAAAGAATACCAATTGCTCTAAGTATCAAAAGGTCATTCCTTCAATATCAGACTGAAAAGCGAGGTGCAGGCCCAAAGAAAGAGAGAGGTGTTTTTTAAATTTTTTAATATTAGTAACGTCTACCTTCAAAATGGACTGCATAACTACCTGCTTTTTACATTTTCCAATGATTTTTGCTTCCTTTTCTTACTGCTTTTGGTAAAATTTAGCGCTTTTTGAAGAATGTTTACATTTTGTTGTGTAAATGACAGTTGTAATTTAAAGAGTTTAAGTGTAGTTTTCAAATCCCTGTGTTGTAGTAAGGCTTACTTGCTAATATTTACTGGCAGATAGAAGCTAGAAGAACTCTGTGTATGTCTCAATTTCCTGCAGAAATGCTTATCCAATAAGTCAGGCAGGGACGAACTTTTCCTAACACACGTAAACATTTATTTTGGAATTATTTGCGGTTGATGATGAAAGTGCATACAAAGGTTCTGAACATGTTTAACACTCATGCTGCCATTTCTAGCATTAGTGATAGCTCATTAGGGAATCAGACGGATCCTATGATCATTTTGTTGGCCGTGTCGCATGCAGTGAGGCCCATTTTCTCTGGTGCATGAGTAAATGACTTGAGCCTTTAAGCCATCAAACAGTCACTCAACAACTGCTTTGTTGATTTATGAGAAGTGTTGTTTTTTATTCCATTTCACATTGTATTATACTTTAAACATATTACTCACTTTATGGTAAGTAAAAAGCAGTTCTGCTTTCTGTGCATTTTTCTCTAGAAATCACTCGTTTTATCCTGAAGTAGCCTTCAGTCTCTAGCACTTTTCTCATGCACGTGCGTGTATGTGTTTCATTCTAGGAATCTTTGCGCCAGATTAATTTCATCAGGACGCTTCACACAGTTACTGTATGCCCCATCTCTAGGCTCTGACTCAGGATCTATTTATAATTCCCGCGTTTTTACATCCTGGGTTGTTATTTAATTATTGGCGATGGCCGTCTCGTGCCCTAAAAAGGAAACTAATTAGATGGTAAACCTCAGCACTGAAACAAATTTACTGGGGGCGGGGTGTGAGGAGAGCTTCATTTCAAAGAATGTGGAACCCTTAGGGTGAATTCTCTTTCTTTCGTGCTGATGTAAACTTTGGGGACCCGAGTGAGATGTGTTTTTTGTGTGTTTTGCCTCCCTGCTCAGGCTTGCACGGGGGGCGGGTGCACGGTGAGTGAGGCCAGCCAGGCCCTGACAGAGGAGAGGGCCCCGGAAGGCGTGCCCGCCCCCAGAGTGCACTCCCATTCACCTCACTCCTTTAACATCTCCTGGACTGAGCCTGACTATCCGAATGGTAAGTGAACTCTTTTAGCCTCAAGTTAAAAAGATGATTAGCAAAGGTAAATTAATATTCTAAATGGCAGCTTATATGTGGTACTTAATTTTTAATGATCATTTTAGCACATAAAATACCTGAGATAGTATCATTGTCTGCAGTTAGGAGATTGTGGTTTTTAGGCTAACACACAATTTCGGTGGCTCAAAAGTGCTCCCTTTTGATAGTTCTTATGTACTGCATCTTATTGTTCAGTATGTTCCAGGAGAGGTGAAGAGAACAAACAGGATTCCCAAAGAATGCCCTTGTGAGAGTGACATTATATTTCCAATGACTTTCTGTTTTTGACTGTCCTGAATTCTTTTCTGAGAGAAGTAGGGAGGTAGAAAGTTCATCCACATATTGTATTTCAAAAGACTTTTGATTAAATAAGTTTATCTTAAAAGACACCACTTGGAACTCTGTATTTCTTAATATATTATTTATAAATATTTCAACATGCAGTTTTTAAACAATGCATGCATGCATTAAATATATATACATTTATACTTGTTTAACTTGACTGTGTATATTTCTAAATGATATATATATGTCTCTGTATAGTTTAGAGAATTAAGTTAGCCAGTTGAAGTTTCCTAAAATAAAGTCTTATCATAAAGAATTTGTAATTACTTGGGGTAGAAATTGATTTATTCATTTATTGGAAATGTCTTTAAGTTCAATGCAATATAGTACCATTGTTTCACACTGGTAGAGCTTACATACCATCAAATTTTGTTCCTTTTAAACACAGATATCAAGAAGACTTTTAATATCATTGAAACTGTTTTAAGTAACTCATTACTGAACACTGAAATGGCCTCTTTTAGCATAGACAGAAAGAATGAAAGAAAAATTACATTTTTATTAGTTTATCTTATGTTTACTAGGTTATTAATTATTCCAGTCATTTTAATTAAACTTTTGGCAAATGCACGAGATATATTTGAGGTAATGGAGAGAGCTCTAATAATTAGAGTGAGTGATTATCTCTGCTATTGAAGTCATTCCTGTACTATTACAAATTTCCTAATAAAAAATAAATGGATGTCTGTTTGATGCTTACTAAATAGTCAAAAATCTTGTCATACTTTGTGTTCCACAAAGAAATCTAGTCCCTAGGTGGCAATGAAAATGTTACTGATTTAATCCAGCTGGATTGATGTTAACGGTGTTAGATGATTTGCGTGGTGGAGCACCCCACTTCATCCCGTAAGATGATTTGCGTGGTGGAGCACCCCACTTCATCCCGTCGGTAGTTGTAACTTCAGTGGCACCCGAGATCCTGGGCTACTAGAGAAATACTTCTGAGTCTGGACTTTTCAAAGAATCTTTGTGTATTATGTTTGGTACATTTAAAAGCAATTTTAAAATATATTCATTGAACAATAAGAGTTTGGGAGATTTAGAAGATTGGTATTAATACATTCATTTATTCTAAAGTCTTCTGTTTAATCACATGCAAATTTTCAGAATTTTTGTTGCGGGGAGGTGGTTAGACATTTTTAAAGTCATAGTTTTCATTAAAAATTTTTCTTCTCTGCACTACTTCTCTCTCCACTTTTTCCAAAGTCTCCATTTTTTGCTTTCTATTGTCCATCGTCTAGAGACGATTGTTGGGGAACATCTTATCACTTCATCTGTTTTTCAAAGTTCCCATGCTTCCCCCTAAAAACCCAAAGGGTAAAGTCCAAATTCTTCAGTCAGGTGCTCAGGTCACTCCCAACTTGTGATTCCGCCTGCATTTACATAGCCTTGTAACACACTTTCCTTTCTAGCCACCTGGGCTCCTTCTGGTTTAGTGTAGGGCTGAAAGACGTAGGCGTAGAGTCAGATAGACCTAAGAGCAAACCTTGTCTCTGATGAATAGTAGCTGTTACTTTGGAAAATTTACTAACTTTCATGAACCCCAGTTTTCTCGTATTCTAAAATTGCAGTTAATGATTCCTGCCGTCTCTCCATCTTCACCTGTAGAAATCTCACTCATTCCTCAGGGCTAAATGGAAGCCTCTTATTTTATGAAATTGTTTCACTCTTCTTTGAGTGGCAGTCAAGCTTTCCCTGTTCTGTTGACCCTAAATCCTCTTTCTGTGCCTTCACCATGCCATGTACTTCATTCACCCTAGGCTCAGATTTATTTGGGTACATGTCGAACATGCCAACCAGATGATAAGGACCAGAAATCACTTATTTCTCTTTTCCTTCATGGAGGCTAATGCTTGCTATTGGTACCTAATGAATAGTTCATTTAGTTGTTTCTTGTGAAAATTTCATTTGGTCAGTGGCATATCTACTATAGAGCCCTGGCTCTCCAATGATCCCAACAGAGAGTAGAAGTACTTACAGGCCAGATCCTAAAATATATTTTTCTGAAGTGTATTTGTTCCTGAAATATATCTGTGTAGCTGTGTGGAGCCTGGGACTAGGTTTTTCTTTAAGGAGTTTGGATTTTGCATCGAATTAAGATTTCTTAATTTTCTCCAATGTCACCCAAATAGGCCCATATTACAGACTAAGCTGAATGATGGCTGCTTTTTAATTTTTGAACATGCTGCAGAAGAGTAATACAATTGGAAAATAAAACAGGTTTCTGCCTTATGTAAAGAAACCCTTTCAAATGGTTTTCAATCGTGTTTCTCAAACATATCTGATTGTTAGGAGCATCTTGGGGGCACTGATTAAAGAAGTAGATTCTAGTGCTCCACCAAAACACCTGAGTGAGTAGGCAGAGTATCCCGCTGACTTGGTTATCATCAAAATGCTGATGAGTATTAAATCCCACCTCCAGGGGAGACCTCTCTCATTAGGACCCCTTCAGGAGACTTCCACATGGATTTATGTTATGTTTCAAACTCAGCATGTCCCCTCTACATGTCCTCTCTGCTGTTTTCCTCGCCCCATGATTGGCACCACCCAGTCACACCCGCCAGAAACCTGGGAGGTGCTCTTGAGTTCAACTCTTGTTCACCCTTGATTACTCTTTCCACATGACCCCCCTCCCCCAACCACAGCTGTACTCTTCTGACAAAGGCCACCGATATTTCTCACCCAGATACCTTCAAGAGCCTCCTTGTGCCCTAAAAAGTTGAATCTGTCCATTCAAAATATCTATTTCGATGACCTACTAGGATCCGTCATTCTGATGATTCCAAGATGAATTTACCCAATCCTTGATCTTAAGAGTATCAGAGAGTTCCTTGAGTGAGATACCCATGTGAACAAATAATCACATGGCAGGCATGTGCACAAGGCACCAAGTGTGTGGAGAGGAAACGACTGAGGACGTGGGGGTGTCTTCCCTCTGCTTGTCACTAAGATGTGGACGGTCCAGAGAGACACACACACTTAGGCTGTCATGTTCTGTAACAGGTTCTGATTGCCTGGTTTCACACACTCTAGGCTCCCAAATCTTGACTCTGTTAGTCAGTTATATACCTAAATGAATTATTTCACTAGGACTTAATAAACATGAAAAAAAAAGTTGAGAAACAGTAAGCCCCCTTTCTGTGATACGAAATACTTCCAAAGGCATGCCAAATGTGACAGAACGTGAAAGGCAGAGAAGGTTCTTATGTAAATGTCCAGTTGTTACCTATCAAGTAATTGGTAACCTTTAGTTAGCCAAGGTGGCCTAGGAAACAGGCCCTCTGCTTTATAACTGGTTCTGATGTAAACAGTCAGCTCCTCCTCATTCAAGCCTGGTGATAATCCTTACCAAGGGGCTAGAAGAATGGCCTCTTATTCTCCAAGTTCCCTTTTCTTCTCTGCTCCCCATCCTGCACCTTTCCGCAGCTCGTGCAAGGGAGCTTGCTCTTTGCTTGGGGACGTGCTTCATGTGCTCAGAGAACATTTTCCTGTTCCATCACCTCTTGTTCAGCTGTGTGCCAGCAGCTCTAAGAAGAGTTCCTGACTCATAATCGGTGCTCAATTAAAAACGCATTGATTACCAATATCAAAAGAGAACATAATCACAGAAAACAACACATACTGGTGAGAACATAGAGAAATCAGAACCTTGTGTACTGTTGGTGGGAATACAAAATGGTGCAGCCATTATGGGAAACAGCTTGAAAAAAATTTCAAAATATTGAAAACAGAATTACTGTATGATCCAACAGTCCCATTTCTGGGTATTTATCCAAAAGAATTGACAACAGGATTTTGAAGAGATGTTTGTGCAGCCATGTTCACTGCAGAGTTAGCCACGATAGCCAAGAGATGGAAGCAATCCAAATGCCCATGGACAAATGAATGGATAATAGAAAATGCCACATGTGTTTATGATGGAATATCATTCCGCCTTAAAAAAATGAGGAAATTGCCATATGCTACAACGTGGATGAACCTTGAGAATATTATGCTAAGTGAAATAAACCAGTCTCAGCAAGACAAATACTGCGTGATCCCATTTATATGGGGCATCTAAAGCAGTCAAACACATAGAGACAGAAAGTAGAATGTGGTTTCCAGGGAATGGGGGCTGGTGTTCGGTGGATATAACATTTCAGTTTTGCAAGATGAGAAAGTTCTGGGGATCTTACCTAACAGAGTGCCTCTAGTCAACACTACTGTGCTGTATGTTTAAAATGCTTAAGATGGTCAATTTTATGTTGCATGTTTTGCACCACAATAAAAAAGAATGATGTAGGGAGGATGGAATAAAATACAATAAACTTTAAAACCAGAAAGAAAAAAATTAAGATTAAGGACTGTGTTAGTTTGAAACAAGCAAAAATGTTAAAGGATAATCAGATAAAGATATATGCGTACAATATACATTTGTTAAACAAGAGTGAGCTCACAGCCATTTGTCCTTTTCTCACTAAGCCACATGGTGGAAACGTCTTTCCATGGCAGTTAAGTGTAGCTAAACTTCATTCTTTCGAAAGACAGTATTGAATCCCACTGAATGAAACCACAGCGTATTGCCTTTTATTGATGGACATGTAAGTTTCCGTGATTTTGCTGTTATAAAGAAT